TGTGTGTGTGTGTGTGTGTGTGTGTGTGTGTGTGTGTGTGTGTGTGTTGTTTTTCTATTTATCCTAACATCAATTCTAAAATCTTACCACTTAACCACTTGATACTCTATACAGTATACTCTAATGGGACACTTTTCTACTTTGTATCAGTTTACTCCACAGTTCCAGAGGAAACTATTTCTAGTCTTTTACATGTATTGTCAAAATGTCAGTCTTCAACACTTCATTTCTCTGTCAGTAACTCTGATCAACCTTTTATACAACGCAGCTTGAAAAACACAAATAAGGTAAAATTTCTAGAAATTTTCTCACAGTTTATGACCTATTGTATTTTTTGTTGTTGTTTTGTTTTTTGTTTCCTCTCTTTTGTATGTCTGTATTGAAATACTCTCATCATCAAGATTTACATCCATATAACACATAAGTTAACTGTAAATGCTACCCTGTACCTAGGACTACTGGTGGGGAAGGTCATGGTAAATCACAAAAAAGATCACATTGATGAGGTAGAATACCAGCTTTAATATACATTTGCTTATATAGTATTTTTTGGCTTATCTCCAAGCTAGGACAGTTGTTGTATCAACACATTATATAGTACTGTGTTCAGTGTGAAGGACAGAGTTTAGATCAGATATTGTTGACAAGTACTTATGATGATGGTGATGTATTTGATAAAGCATACTCCTAAACATAACTCACCCTTGGGTACCATTTCCATTTTTCCTACTGATGATGTCTAAAGCAAAATGAATTGCTTTTTATAATTTTCTTGGAGAAATTGGAAGAAATAAATGGGATGGAGTAAAAAGTAATTTTTTAATATATTTTGACTGAAAGTGGAGATGTTTCCTAGAAAATTTGTATTTTCTCACTTATTTTCCCCAGCTTACCCCTCAACATACACATTACCATAATTACTACCACAACCACCATCAAAATTTGTTCATACTATCAACAATAACTTACCTTGATTGTATTTGTATATCTTGACTCACACAAACACATATACACATTAGTTTAATCACTACCACAACCACCATCCAAATTTATTCATACTATCAACATTAACTGACTGGTTGTGTTTGTACATCTTGCCTTATTTGGGAGACTTTATGGTTGTACATAATTTTCAATTATCATTTAAATTTATGATTAATATATGTACATATAAGCATAGCATTACTAGACAATATATGTATTTGATTACATTTATAATTATTTATGCAAGAAATGTATAAATAATATACATTATATATTATATATATAATATTGTAGATAAAGAGATACCATCTTATACTGGCCAGAATGGCTAAGATCAAAAACACCAATGATAGCTTTTTCTGGAAAGAATTTGGAGTAAGGGGAATACTCCTCCATTGCTGGTGGGAGCACAAACTTGTACAGCCACTTTGAAAATCAGTATTAGTTTTTCAGAAAATTGGGACTCATCCTACCTCAGAACTCAGCAATACCACTCTTGGGTATATACCCAAAGGATACACAGTCATACCACAAAGATATTTGCTCAACTATGTTCATAGCAGCATTATTCATAATAGCCAGAACCTGGAAACAGCCTAGATGTCCCTTAATTATAGAATGGGTAAAGAAAATGTGGTATGTTTACACAATGGAACTACTCTGCAGTTAAAAAAAAATCTTGAAATTTGCATCCAAATGGATGGAACTAGAAAAATTCATCCTGAATAAGGTAATTCAGTCCCAGATAGACAAACATTTTATGTACTCACTCATAAGAGGATATTATCCATAAATCAAAGGATAACCAGTCTATAGTCCATGATCCTAGAGAAGCAAGGTAACTAAGAGAACCCTAAGAGAGATATACATGTGTCTCCCTGGGAAGAAGAAATAGATAAGACCTCATGAGAAAATTATGAGGTGGGGAAGAAGGTAGGGTAGAAGGGATGGGGGAGGGGCAAAAGGGAAGGAGGAGGAGAATATGAGGGAATGAAATGCTCAAGAAGGGGGAAGGACAGTGAGGGAGAGAAAGGAAAGACATATCTTGACTGAAGGAGCCATTAAAGGGATATTGAGAAATACAGCACTAAGGAAATTTACAGGAATCCTCAAGGTTGACCCCAGCTAAGACTCTAAGCAGCAACGACGAGGATGCCTAAATAAGCCTTCCCCTGTAATCAGACTGATGACTATCTTAACTGTCATCATAGAATCTTCAACCAGCAACTGATAGAAACAGATACAGAGATCTACAACGAAGCACTGGGCCAAGCTACCTGAGTCCAGCCCAAGAGAGGGGGGAACAATAATATGAGCCAAGACGACAAGATCATGATACCCACAGAAACAGCTGACCTGAGCTAGTGAGAACTCATTGACTCTGAACTGTTAGTGGGTGAACCTGTTTAGGACCAAATTAGGCCCATTAAATGTGTCAGTTGTGAGGATTGGACAGTCTGTGGGGCCACGGGCAGTGGGACCAGGATTTATCCCTGGTTCTTGAACTGGCATTTAGGAGAATATTCTTTCTGGAGGGATAACTTGCTCAACCTAGGTATAGCAGAGAGAGCCTTGGTCTTGCCTCAAAGTTAAGTGTTAGTCTTTGTTGATTCCCCATGGGAAGTTTTACCTTTTCTGAGGATGGCGTGGGAAGGTGAAGTGTGGGAAGGGTGGAGAAAACAGGATCAGGGTTAGCCCTGGAAAATGTGAAAATATTGTATTATAAAAAAATCTTAATAAAAAAAGAAAAATTCATTTCTTACACAAAGTTTAGAAAAGTTTTGCCCAAGGTAACCACTCCTACTTATTACTCAATACATATTCAAGAAATTTTCTGATAGCTGTTGGTATATGATTAGATTCCATCTGTTTATGTTGACAATAGGCTAGTTTACAAGTAATAATTTGTTCTGAGCCCTCTACTGTTAGAGCTAATGTGTGATTTGTTCTACTGGTGAACATATCATACAGACAGTTATGTTACCTTGATGAGTTCACAGAATTTCACATATTTCTTTGCTTAAAAAAATATTTTAAGGCACAGAATTGTAATAGCCTTTTTTATTTCTGAATGGAAGAATCTTATTTCCTGGCATACCAGCAACCATACTCACTTAAAATTATTTTTTTAAGGTTCTTTTTCATTTGAAAGTTAAACACACACACATACACACACACACAAACACGAGAGAGAGAGAGAGTGACAGAGAGACAGAGAGACAAAGAGACAGAGAGAGAGAGAGAATTAACAAAATGAACGAAAAGAAAATATGTAATTGAGGGATATTGGCAATGACATAAATCATTACCACAGGTAATATCCTTGGAAAGTATTAGTCAATAAGCAAGGAATGTCTTTCAAACTTGTCAGGTGAGGGGAAATTTTTAGGAATGGGATGCATTTTGGAATGAAGTCTTGCTTTCCAGAGCGAGGAAGGTTACCACTAGATTTACATTTCTGGGTAGAAAGAGAAAATGGAATAGAATGGAATGAGTAGAATCATAGAAAATTGCAATGAATACTGGTGGACATCATGAAGGGGTGGTGTTAGCAGTTATAAACACAAATCCCATTAAGTTAAGGTTTGAAATACTTCACTCTGTCATTGTAACAGCAGAATTTTAGAAAATTATTAGATGAGTGGTAAGATGGTCTTATATAATGTGGGTTCTTGGTTAATACAGTCATATCACATAACTTTAGAAGGAAAATCAAGAAATGACTATGAGGACACTGATCAAATCTTGGGTTATATTCATATATAACTTTACCTAAAATTTCTCTGAGTAATGTGTCAGAGACTGACTTACATGTAGGAGAGAGAAAAACTGAATAAATGTAGCAATGTAGCCTGAGGTTTAAATTAAATATGGACTATCAAGATTGACTGAGGCAATCAGGTATGCAGAGAGTGTCTATTGGCAGAGGCCCAGAAGTTTTGGCAGCTAGAGACTTCTAAAAAGGTCTGTGAAAGAGAAACCCAGAAAGTCCCAAACTGAAAACAAAAATTCTGCCTCAGGTTATCAGAAAAAATCCAGAAAGTAGCTGACGTTTCTCTGATCCTTTCAGGCTTAGGGAGACATGTTTACATGGCCGTGTGTGAGATAAATATCCACAGCTTGGTGATGAAGTATTTATCCAATGCTTATGGATCACCTAATGAGTTTCAATAAATATATAAGATGTAATAATAGTCCTCCGGAGTAATCATGTTTTAATCCACATTGGTATGTTAGGTAAGAATCTCTTAAAAAAAATAAACACGTTCAAAAAATCATGCTTTGGTAGTAAGCTGAAACAAGCCACAAGGTTTTGATAATAGAGAATCCTCTTGAACCCATTCCACCAGACATGTACTCCTCCTTTACTACAGTGTCAGAAAGGGATGGCTCATGGAGAGTATACTGGACCCTCTAATTCCTGGGCACAGGACTGCAGTGGATAAACAGTAAGCTGGTATTCTTCTAGGATGAGACACAGAAATGCATCTTCCACCAGCTCTGAGATTCCTGATTGAAGACTGTGAGTTGTCCCTGGTGCCTCCGTCTGCATGCATTGATGATGTCACTTATCAGCACTGGCTATAATAAGCTGCCTTATTGACTTCACTTCCTTGTCACTCCCGCAGCTAGATTCTTGTCACGGGCAACCTTGCTTTGCATCAGCCTGCCTTTGCTTTATTGGTTTATTGATAGTTCCATCCATCTTCTTCAAAGAGGTGACAGGCTGGCATTTGACTCTCATCTTCTTGAGATTTTACAGCCTGCAGGGAAGGTGCTAGAAGTCCTGGAGTTGTGCCCAAATTGGAAGAATGCAAAACATTCCTCCTTATTACAGAAAGGGTGATACAAAGTCATAATTGTAAAATACTGACTTGCTGACATGCCTGATCCTGCAAGT